TCCCCCCCCCTCTCCCTGCTCTCCACACTGCGTCTGGTCTGTTCCTCCCCATTCTCCCCTCCCACACTGCGTCTGGTCTGTCCCTCTCCACTGCCCTCCACACTGCGTCTGGTCTGTCCCTTCCCCTCTCCCTGCCCTCCACACTGCGTCTGGTCTGTCCCTCTCTGCGCACGCTCCACATTAGTGCTGGGGTGCGGGAGAGTGCTCCCGGCCCTGCGCATGAGAGATTCTCCATCCTAGCTGGGGCGAGCTTCTGGCTGGGCGCTCTGGGGCCTGGGGAGAGGTGAGCTTCCTGCAAGCCCTGCCTGCCCCTCCTGCCTGGCCCACCCTAGAGGACGGCTATCTAGGGTTTCAACCAATGACCCAGACGTTATCTTTTACCTCACACCTGAGGTCATCCAGACCTCCCCAAATCCCAAGGGCAGTCGAGCATGCTTCACTCCCCACACCTAAGCATGGTAGGGCGGCCAAGAGCGGGGCCTCATGGGCTGGGCCGGCTGAGCCCCGGAGCGCAGGGTGCTGGCTAAGGGCCACCACAGCAGGCCTCAAGGGAGGCTTCCACTTGCGAACCGGCCTCCACACAGAGACAGTGAAGACTTAGCCTCTCTGCCCCACCCTACACTGCTGCCATGGCCCCGCTCTAGTGAGCCTGCGTGCCCTCGAACCTGCCACCGCAGGGCCGGGGCCGGGCAGAGGGGCCTCTGCGGGGAGACCGGCACCCTGTAGCTCCCTGCCAGTGGCCCGCCTGCCACCTGCACTTGCCTGTCCTGCCAGGCCAAACCACTGCACCTGAGACGCAGGGAGATGCCATCACTGTCACGAGGCACCCCCTCGTGCGCGCTGCCCCGGCCTCGGGAAAGCCCGGTCTTCGTGGTCGATAACTCACCTCTGTCCATCTTTTGGCCCTGGTTGCTTTCCCTTCTCCTAAAGCAGTGCTGGAAAGCAAAGGCCAGATCTGGGGGCGGGAGTGGACATGGGGGTGCTGAGCGAGCCCTGGCGAGAGCGAACTCTGGGCAGCTGTTAGCTGGCAGTCGCTTGTCCGTGCCTGTGGAGAGCACTTGTGAACGCACGCCGATGAGTGTGGACTTTGGGGCGGACGCTGGGTTCAAGCCCTGGCTCCACCAGCAGGGCAACACCGCAAACTCAGCTCCAAATCCCTCCTCAGGGACACAGACCTTGCAAGGGCCCGCACAGGACCGCTGGTACTCGGCGTCCCCTGGGGCCCGCGCTCGCGGACGTCAGCAGGGGAGGGAGACTGCGGGTGTGCAGAGCGGCCAGTGCTCTCAGCGGCTCAAGGGGCCGCGGGCCGTGCTGGCTCCACCCGGCCCACTCACACTCACGTTCCATGTGGGCAGGGCCCATCCGTCATGTCGGCGCCGGCCCCAGCACCGGCCCAGAGCGGCACACGGCGGGCCCCGGGGCTGAGGACCAGGGCCCCTTGGAGGTCGACCCTTCATGGTCGGCAGGGCGCTTCTCGCCTGGTCACCCCACCGTGCCCAGCACAGAGGCATCCCGCCAGGACGTGCTCGCCTGGGCAGGGCTCAGGCGTGACTGCTCGCGCCCCACTGCCACACGTTCCGTTTCAGACGCCAACTCCAACTGCCTGAAAATGAGCGGTGTTGAAACCCAGGACTGCCACAGCCAGAGCCGGGCCAGTAAGTACACATGCTGTTTCCACTTCTGAGCTCTCAAAGCCACCCGAGGCGAAGCCGCCTACTCTAGTAAGCTCCGACAGGCGCGTGCGAGCCGGGCCGATCATTTCAAGGACGGTGTAGGGCAGCGTTGGCTTAGAAAGGGCGTGGCCACCCGCGCTGCGGACGTGGCCACCTCGGCACACCTGCAGCCCCTTCTCACGGGGGCTCCTGGGGGAGGGCAGTGCGGCCGGCCCAGGGGCTGGCAACCCACCGGCCGGCCTGTGCCATCAGCACATCCTCTCCCCTGTCCCGAGATGAGTGCTCCCCACCCACCGTACAGACAAGGGACCAGAGGTGGCGGCCACAGCCTCAGGAATGGTGCGTCCACGACCCCGCCAGGCCGGCAGCCCCCAGAGCCAGTCTCACCACACGCAGCAGCAGGAGAAAGGCGCCAGCTTCTCATGGGAAGCAGAATTGCAGGGTGGTCTCCCCACACGGCTGTGGCCACCGGCTCTCGGTACGCGCCGCTGCTCGTAGGAGAGGAGTGGCGGTGCCCGTGGTGTGCTCCTCCCTCCCTGTGGGAATTCTCCCAGGGTCCGCAGAGCGAGCGCGTCAGTTGGTGGGAATGTGGGTCTCTGGCTGGATGCAGGGCCTAGTGCTGAGGGAGCTGGGTCCCACTGGCTGGCTGTGTGGTTCGAATCCCAAACCTGGTGGCAAGAAGCAGGGCCAGCACGTGTGCATGCCTGCCTGGAATCCCGAGAGAGAGGGAAGGAGGGCCGTGCTGTGGCCGTGCTGCAGGCCGCCTCCTTCTCTCCACTCGGCGCTCTCTGGGGGCACCTGGGCCCTCCGGCTGTCCAAGACAGCCTCGGTGTCCGCGTGTCTAGCACTTGCTTTAACAGGAGACGGGGTGCTCGGGTCTGTGCGAGGGGCCAAGTAGGGCTCTCGGCTGATGTGCAGAGGCTGCCCCCATGGCAATGGCCCCGGAGCTAGTGAACAGGCGCCGACTCTGCCCCGAGAGTAACAACAGCCGGTGTGCGGCCTGGTGGTTAGGGTGCCGGGTCTCGTGGGGCTGACCAAGCGGTTTGTGCCTGGCCCAGGAGCGTGAGCGTGCTCAGAATCCCGAAGGAGGGGGAGACAGAGGAGGAGAAAATGTGGCGTACGGTGCCCGAGACGGGCGCTTTCTCACTCCCCCCTCCAGTGAATGCACACACCTTCTGACAATTTTTTTAATTAAACACACACGCACACATTCGTTGTCGTTTGCTTTTGTTTCTAATACAGTAACTTTTTATCCCTCCTCCAAAGGCCTCCCCAGTTCCCACCTGTGGGAGTTTGTGCGCGACCTGCTTCTGTCTCCGGAGGACGGCTGTGGCGTCCTGGAGTGGGAGGACAGGGAGCAGGGCGTTTTCCGGGTGGTTAAATCAGAAGCCCTGGCAAAGATGTGGGGACAGAGGAAGAAAAACGACAGGATGACCTATGAGAAGCTGAGCAGGGCTCTGAGGTACGTGAATGGCTGAGCCGCCCCTAGCCTTCCGGAAGCTCTAGCGAGCTGGCGGGCCTCAGAAAACCGCACTGTTCCTGCAGCGTGCCCCGACACTGTGGGTCACGGGGCAGCACTTCGGGTCCCGTTTCAGATGGGATTACGGCTTGTAAATCGACACACCGCCCTTATCATTCCTGGCGGCTCTCCCAGGCTCACAGAATCTCACCCGTGCAAGCACATGCACACACGCAAGCACACATGCACATGCACACGCACACATGCACACGCACACATGCATGCGCACCTGCACATGCATGCACACGCAAGCACGCGCAAGCACACATGCACGCACATGCACACGCAAGCACACACGCACACACACATTTAGAACCGAGTGTGGCGAGGTTCTTTCTCCGAGCTATCTGGGAAAGGCTTCCACGTGAACTGATCACGGGTGTGAGAATACCAGAGTAACCGAAGTCTGCCCGCCGCCTGGGAGGAGGGCAGAGGTCCCCGTGCGGCTGTCCTCCGGGCGAACGCCTGAATTTCCTCCCACTTATACCCACAGGTACTACTACAAAACGGGGATCCTGGAGCGGGTGGACCGGAGGCTGGTGTACAAGTTCGGGAAAAACGCCCACGGCTGGCAGGGAGATAAGCCCTGAGCTGCCCCGGCCTCAGGCTGCTCGGGGTTTCCCTTTCCAAACCCTCGGATGGCAACAGACATCGGAAAGTCTCTCTTCAACCTGCAACGCTGATCAACCTTCCCGTCTCGGCCTACACCGGATTTAGAGCTATCGGGGTGGCAGCAGCGGCATCCCTTACGAACCCCTCCTCCGACCGCCCCGGGAGGAGCGGGTGGCCTTCGTGGCATTCGATCGCTATGGTTTCCCTCGCCGAGAGGCGCAGACCCACCCTGGCAGCACCATGGCCGCTTGGACGGGAAGGAGCGATCCTGCACTGGAGTCGCAGCCACGGCCTGCCCGAGCTCCAGCCGGCCTAGGTCCCAGCGGGAGCGCGGTTCGTGTAGCTGGCGGTAGGAGTGGGGAGCTGAGACTCAGACACGTTCTTCAGACTTTAAATCAGGAAAGGCAGATTCCAAAGGCAAGTTTAGGTCATAAAAGAGCGGGCCATAAGCTGGGACACGCTTGGGTCCAGGCGGTTTCCAGCCAGTGTCTTCTCCGGAGCTCCCTGGCCATGCGGCGGTCCGTGGCCGTCCTTCCGGAGTGAAGCGCTCACAGTCAGCCGTGTCCTCCCCGCTCCTCACTGGTGGCTGGCATGCCATCGGCAAAGAGCCCCCACTGTCTCTGTGACCCAGGCGGCCGACGTGCAGAACCGCCGTGATCCATCGATTCTGTCTGTGGTGAGGACGTCAGCTGTTCCTGGAACCAAAATGTCCCCACAGCCTTGTAAAGGCCAGCGCACGGTGAGCCCTGGCTGGCCCTGAACAGGTTTCCGTGACAAAGCCGTGACAGTGGGTGCACACCAGTCCACGGCCCGGTTCAAGCCTATGCTGACGTTTCTCAGTCCCTGGAAGCAGGTGGCCGTGACCCGCAGCCAGGTGGGCCACCAGCCTCCCTCCCTGGCACGGGCCAAGCAGTGAGGCCCTGAACCGCCACGCAGGCCGAGGCGCCATGCCTAGAGTTTAACTCCAAAAGTACCTTGTTTAAGAAAAATGTGAATTACTGTAAGATCATCTGTTTTTGGAGCCATGTGTTTTCCAGGTGGACATAGTTTGTAAACCATGTGAATAAAATATTTAATATACTCGATTTCCTCTGCAGTGCTCAAATCGGCCAGGCAGGGCCAAGCAGAGCACCGACCACCTGAAAACCAGACCTCTATTTTCTGCCAGGCGGAGTCGGCTTTGGGGTTTTGTTTTAGATTTTTGCCATAGAGCACATGTGTTCACCAGGGAGAGGAGACGGAGAACCAGACGCGGAACGCAAGAAATCCCTCTCCAGGGGCTTGGCCTCACTGCGATCCCTTCCCCTCCACTCTCTCTGCGTTCTGGCTGTGCACACCCGCGCGCCTGGGGTGATTTTCAAGCCTCCGGGTTCCTGATTTGAACCCTGGAGTGAGCCATGTAGGATCCAGCACCTTAACTACCACTCTGCCTGCTGGCCCAGGGCTTGGAGACTTTTAAAGAGCCCACAAAGACTCGAGAAATACGTGGCGTGGCCCCAGGTTGCCACCTTGAGCGTCATTAGACAAAGGTCCCCTCACAGGATAGACTCGGCCCGCATGGCCCCAGATGAGAAATACGTGGCGTGGCCCCAAGGTGCCACCTTGAGCGTCATTAGACAAAGGTCCCTTCACAGGATAGACTCGGCCCGCGTGGCCCCAGATGAGAAATACGTGGCGTGGCCCCAAGGTGCCACCTTGAGCGTCATTAGACAAAGGTCCCTTCCTCCGGATGCATTTTTGTTGGTACACACAGCATTTTGATTTTTTTTTTTTTTTTTGCAGTTTTATTTGCTTATGGTGAATTAATTGCTGCATTAAGAAATCAGGAGGGTTATGTAGACACTTGTTCCCGGGCCCCGTGGCGGTACTGTCCTGCTACCAGACCGAGTTGGTCTGCCACCCCCCCCCCGGCAGAGCAACGCCCTCCGCCTCTGCCAGTGCCGTGGCTGCCCGGCCCGGGCCTGGCCACGCTGCTCTGCGGAGCCTGCGGACGCCTGCAGGTGCCGGATTCGGGCCTGTCCTGAACATCCGAGCACCACACTAACACAGGTCGCCACAGTCAGGTGGACAGAAGAGACTGTCCCCAGGGAACGGGCCAGCTAGCAGGGGACACTGGGCACTCTCAAAGCACGTGGCGGAAGGCGAGGCAGGGCCTGGACGCCAGGGCGGCGGCACGGGGCGGCGCTCTCGGGCAGCCACCCTGCCCCAGCCCCGGCCTCCAGCAGTTCTGAGCACAATTAACCCACTTGCTGTTCAAGATGTTCCCACGTTTCAAACCACAGCACCCTCCGTGTATCCCCCGCCAGGCTGCCGTGACAAACCATCAAATGGGGACGACAGCGGAGACTACCCTCCGCGCTCCTGGAGGCCAGCCGGAAGCAGCGCCGCAGGGCCGTCTGCACAGGCTCACACAGGCCCTGGCCTCTCCCAGCTCCCGGGCTCAGGCGCTCCATGGACCACAGCCAGAACAAACCCTCTGTCCCCACTCGCCCATGCTCCCTCCTGCCTCGGCTCACCCCGGATTCAAGTCACCTGGAAGCCAGGACCAGCTGACCTTGGGCTTCTTGCTGTGATGACCCTGTGAAGGCCTTTTCCTAAATATGGTCACAGATTCCAGGCTCATCGCTCAACCCAGTGCACTCACCAGGGAGAGAGTCAGAGACAGAGGGAGAGATAGCCACTACACTCTCCAGGGAGAGAAAGACAGAGAGACAACCACTGTTTTCTCCAGGGGGAGAGAGAGTCAGAGACAGAGGGAGAGACAACCACTACACTCTCCAGGGAGGGAGAGGGAGAGGAGAGAAAGCACCTAGTGTGGTCACACCACAGTCCCCACCTCCACCCCTTCCCCTCTGGATGTGTGCACTCGCGTGTGCACATGTGCCTGGCTGCCAGGCCAGATTCACACTGTGTGGTCAGCTGTTGTACCAGCCCCCACTGCGCTATGGGGTGAGCATCTAACCCCGTCCTGTCTGGCCCCAACCCCTATACACTAAGACCAGAGTTTGGGGCCCCTCTGCTCAGGCTGCTGGGACCGCACCCCACAGCTGGGCCACGCGAGCCCAGGGTTGGAGTCGTGGTCCAACCGAAGGCCCTCGTGGAGGGCGTGCCCATAATCCAGAGGCCAGGGAGGTTGGGGCAGCAGGCCTGCAAGCTCGGCACTGCCCCGGGGAATAGAGAGCAAAGGTCTGTTTCGGAAAGAAAGTGAGAACTGGGCGTGAGGCAAGTGCCAGCTGGAGGCGGGGCAGACGGGGCCTGGTCAGCAGGACGCTATCTCAAACACGGTGGTTCCAAACCTGGGCCTGGTGGCTGGAAACCACAACGAATAAATAACTAAATAAACTTTAAAATAAGAAGAAGAATTTTACTTAAATGCAGGACCAGCAGATGGCATAATGGCTATGTCGCTGGACTCCCATGTGGTCAACCGCAGTTCGAGTCCCAGAACCAGTGACTTAAACTCACGCCGGGCGTGTGTGCGTTCCCAAGATCCCAAGAGGAGAATGGAGAAGGGAAGTGAGGAGGGATTGGGTCATTGCCGTCCCTCCTGGGGGGGGGGGAGGGTGATTTCTCGCTTTCTGTCTCTCTGTCTCTCTGTCTCTCCCTGTCTTTCTGGCAAGTGCATGCGCCCTATAGCAAAAACCTCTCCAAAGAAAAGAGTTTTACTTAAATGCAAAAGCTCCAGAACACAAGTCACTGAAGGATAGAGCGCAAGAGCTGTTGAGAGTGCCTCACTTCGGCAGGCGTGGCCACGCCACAAACACCACACGGAGCAGGGAGCCCTCCTCCAGGAACGTGGGCCGCAGGTCCCCGCATGCCCGCGCGCACGCACTCGCTACCCCGTGATGCTTCCGCCATCCGGAACCGTGCGGAGCTTTTCTGCCTCCTCCTCTGCCCTCCACAGCTGGGACAGCCTGGTGGACCGGCAGCTCAGCTGCTTACCTCAGCTACACGGGCTTGGCCCTCGCCCTTCCGCAATGCCGTACAGAGAGACCCAGCAGCTGCCCGGGATTTCTTTTTAATAATTATTTTACTTAATTATTTCTTATTTGACCAGAAAGAGACAGGGAGAGAGAGGGGGGAAATGAGGAAGCAAGCCTCCAGGTCCAGGACTCAAACCGCAGTCAGCCATGTGGGAGTCCGGTACCTCAGACCCCACGCCACCTGCTGGCCCACAGCCCGTGGCTTTTTTTTTGGGGGGGGGGAGGTTTTCGCTATTGGACGCGTGCGCTCGCCAGACAGACAGAGAGACAGAAAGCGAGAAATCACCCCCCGGGGGCTGGCCACACTGCAATCCCTTCTCCTCCATTCTCCTCTCAGGATCCTGGGCATGCATGCACATGCGCCCGGCGTGAGTTTTAAGCCACTGGGCCCGGGACTCGAACCACAGTTGACTACGTGGGAGTCCAGCAACATAGCCATTATGCTAACTGCTGGTTCCCAGCCCGTGGCTTTTTGAGTCCTGAATACTACTCAAAGTTCATTTCCTTAGCTCGGATCATGTAATGCCTCTTTATTAGATAAGGGAGGGGGAAAAGGTAGCTTTTGCTTTGTTTTGCTTACTCCTGGGCACCTGTGCGTGCGGGGAGGCAGAGGGACCCATGGGGAATGGCCGCGCCACACTCCCTGAGCCCCCGCTCGCCCTTCTTACAGCATTCTGGGCACACACCACAACAGCCACTGTGCTCCACACGCTGCCAGTCCGGGCTTGAACTGTGTTCTCAGCCACATGGGACGCAGCTACACCAACCACCAGGCCTCCGAGCCGGCCCACGTGTGTGTTTACATTTCATTTATTTTCTATTTTTAGAGAGAGATTTCTGCTATAGGGCACATGTGCTCACCAGAGAGACAGAGACAGAGAGACAGAAAGCGAGAAATCACCCCCCAGGGGGGATGGCCATGCCGCAATCTCTTCTCCTCCATTCTCCTCGCGGGATCTTGGGCACACACGCACACGCGCCCGGTGTGAGTTTAAGCCACCGGGTCCGGGACTCGAGCTGTGGTCATCTATGTGGGAGTCCAGCGATGTAACAATTATGCCATCTGCTGGCCCCAAATGTGTGAGTTTAGAATGAAAATCCTGACACAGGACTTGAAGCAATTACGTAGCCCTCCGTAGTGCTCCTAGAAGCCCACCCAAGGCCTCCTCTTAGAATGGCAAGTGGCGAGGGCTGACCTATCAGGTCCGTCTTCACTCGGACGGCGAGGGTGCAGGACGGCCAGCATGTCCTCACGCGCAGGTCGTTCACGGAGGCGCTGTGACAGCCCCCAGTGGGACCCCCCCGCTGCCGAGTGGCAGGCGAGACCTACACAGGCACACAGCGGGCAGTAAACACAGGAGTGGAGCCCGCCAGCCTGCCCTTCGGACGCCGGGCCACATGGAGCGAGGTCCTACCCCACGGCCCTGCGGGGCGGGCGGGCCCTCCGGTGTGAGGTTGTGCAGGCCGCGGGCCAGGCAGGACAAGGGGGCTGTGGAAAGGCACGTCAGGCACGGGGTTTACCCTGGGGTGACATGACGTCCTGGAGGTGCCGGAGGGGTGGCCGCACTCTGAGAGGACACCGAGGAGCCCTGGCCTGCACTTTTGGGGGACTCACAGTCCATGACGCAGACCTCAGTAAAGCCGCTTTCAGGGAGGTGAGCAGACCCGGGTCACACCCCACTGAGAGGCCATTTAAGACTCAGACAGAGACCCAGCCCTGGAGGGGCTTTACTGAGCACAACACACGTGAAGTTTGCTTCGTAGACCGTCTTCAGTACACGGTTCCGCAGCTGTTCCCGCCCTCCGCTGCCGGGACCTGTCACCTTCCCAGCCTGAAACCCTGTTCCTGTCAAAGACTGACCCCCCTCTTCCCCCTCACCAGCTCCCAGTCACTCTGTTCCACCATCCCCTGAAACCTGCTGCCCTACACACCAGGGAAGGGGTCACCCGACGGCTCCCTTCTGTCTGGCCCATCACTCAGCACAGCTGTGCGGTGGCCCTTCCTTTTCCGGGCTGAGTAATATTCCTGGCATGGGCATACCAAGGCTTGTTAGCCAACCCGTGGAAGTTCAGAGACATCCCTGGTGCCTTGGTCCAGGCTGCCGTCAGAAACTGCCCAGACGGGGCATGTGGCCTCTGGTCTGGAGGCCGGGATGCCCACAGCTGAGATGCCAGCCTCGGTCAGGCCTTCCCAGTCTACAGACAGTCATCCCACTGTCACCTCAGATGGGGAAGAGCAGGGAGAGGACTGGCTTCCTCCTCTCCTCCTCCTCCTCACCCCACCGCGGCTCTACTCCCAGGACTCCCAAGACCCAGAGCCCCAACCGCGGGGAGCCAGCTCGGACATGGTGGGTGTGTGCGGCAGCTCCACCTCTGACCCACCTGCAGGACACGCTGCGAGAGCAGTGTGGACACGTCCGGCCCCTGCTCTCAGACCCGAGTGTGTATCTCAGGACTACGGGTCACCATGGGTTAGGTCACCACGGTGACCTCCCAGGGTGACCTGACTGGAGGAGGGTCACGAGAAGACAGAAACATGGGGCACGCAAGTGAAGGCCACTCGCCCGCAAACATGCTCCACGAAGCGGGTCCGAGTCGGGCAGTGGGAGAGGGCGGAGACCTGGGTGGACAAAGGGTAAGAAGTCCCCCTCTCCTTGGAACATAAGCAGGTGCGAGGGAGGGGGCGGGAGAGACGCGGAGACACACAGGTGCACGTTTCCAGGCGGCGCCACGGGCCCACGTGCGGGCGGGAGGGCAGGTTCGCTCTGCTGTGGCCGTCCTCCTGAGGCCGTGGCCTCCCTCCTGAGG